TCTGAAGACTGCTACTCCCCTCCACCTGACCTCTGGGTGCCCCCCCCCACTCCCAGAAAACAATCCTATGGGACAGAATGGAAGTCAGACCTAGGCCTTGGGAATCCAGAAGAGCAGGGCCTAAGGTAGAGAAAGACCTACAGCAGGGTATAGGGCCAGTTCTACCTGGAGAATGGACAGGATCCTCCTCCAGAACTTCCTTGGTTCCTGGTTCTTGTTATACGATCCTCCTGCCATCCCCAAGGGCTTCTTCCTCTCCCTCCTTAACCCAGCCCTAGAAGAGACACTGACCCTAACTTTCTCCCTCTCACTCACACAAGATCTTCATTTCACATACACACACCATCGCCCCCCCCTTCCCTACTCAGGCAAAATTAGGACCTCAAGCTCTGTGCCCCCATTCCTTTAGCCTCCTTTTCCACTTAACCACAACATGGAGTCCTGGCTCTAACTGGGAAAAGCCACTGCCACCTCTGAGCCTCCTAATATTGCTAAGAGCTCCATTTCAACCCTACCTCTCTACCAAAACTAGGACTGGATACCTATGAAATGGTATTTCCCAAGGGAACTTTGGGAGGACAGATACTGCTTTTTTTTTAGGTAACAGTGGGTAAGTGACCTGCCCAGGGTCACAAAGCTAGTAAATATCTGAGGCCAAATTTGAACTCAGATTCTCCTGACTTCAAGGCCCATGCTCAATCCAGCGCTCTATTCACTGCACCACCTAGCTGCCCCTACTGCCTTCTTTCTCTGAATTCTTCCTTGTCCCTATCTCAGGGTCCTAACCAAAGAAACAGTGTAGGCTGGGAAGGTTGAGAGGATATACACCTACCCCAGATTCTACGCAAAGCACTTCACATAGGGACCTGGCCACATTGAATCAGTAATTCCCACATTGAGCCCAGAATTTTAATGGAAAACCAAGAATTCTGCACAGCCTGAGCCCAAATTGTGGGGGCCCAGTCCTCAAAGGACATTTGTGGATACAGGCTGGAGGGAGCAAGGCTCTGAGGCATGTATAGAATAAATATAATTTTATTCTTTATCCAGTAGATCTCAGTGGAAAGTTCAACAGTAACAGCTGCACCAGGTTGGGCTCCCTAGGGGGAGAGGAGGGAACCTTCCTGGAAGGGAGGGGAGCATTGGAGGTGTCCCCACCCTCCCCCAAACCATCCCCCAGACCCCTGTGGAGAGGCAGGCAAGGCCAGTTCTCCCAACCCTGGGAGGGAGAGGGAAGGACCCCCCCAGCAGATGCCCGCCCTGCAGGGGAGGACAGGAGTAAAGGGAGGAGGGGATGCAAGTAGGAGGTGAGCAGAAGAGGCCAGGTTATAAGAGAGATGTTGACTCAGGAACTTGGGGGTCTTTGTCTGTCTGCAGTGTGTGGAAGGGGGTAGGGGGGAATGTAAGGTGGCCACTGCCCCAGCCCATGGTGGGGAAAAACAGGATTGCTGGTGGCTATGAAGCTGGGATAGGAGTAACAGAGGTCAGTGTCTCTGAGCCCCCCACTCCCCTTCCCCCCTGTCACTATCCCATTCACAGTGGGTACAGGGCAGGGTCCCCAAGGAAAGGAGAGGCCAGACCTGACATGGTGGGGGGGGGGGGGGGGAGAAGGCATCAGCTCTTGCCATGGTGGAAGAAGGGATTGAGACACTTACTTTGTAAGCCTAGGGAAGGGAGTGGGATGAGGTGTGCATCTTGCCCAGCTCCTCTCCCTTTCTCCCTAGTCTCTCAGACCGATACACTCCAACCCTTGGTGGGGGAGAAAGAGGGGAGCACCATACAACAGGAGCTAAGGGGGGAGAGGAGAAACAATAAGACCCTTCCCCTCCCCCCACCCCCTATAAAAAGCCTCCTTTCTCCCCTGCTCTCTAGGAAAGCCCACACCCAGTGGTTAGGAGTAGAGAGAAACGGTGTGGGGGTCTGGCCCCCTCTCCCCCAGTGATGGGGGTGTTGGGGGTGTAGAGAGAGGGGTTGGCTTTAGAGCAGTATTTCACAGTTTGAGAGAGAAAACTGAGGAGAAATGGGCTCTAGGGGGAGAGGAAGGGGTGGGCAAAGGAAAAAAGAAGGGAGGGAGTTCCCTTGGGGTTAGGTATTCTTCTTTCCCCCATTAATCTCCCCTCCCCCTCCCCCAGGCTCTGAGCCCAGCTGCCCCCAGGGCAGCACCCCCTCCCCCCCAATGCACAGCACAGATTCCTTCAGTACAAATGTGCTTAAAATGAAACTTCTTATTTAAAAAAAAATCAAAACAAAAAAAATTAAAATAAAAACAAAACCAGCGGGGGAGGTGGTAATATCTGGGAGGAAAGGGAAGGGGGGCAGGGCAGGATTCAGTGGAGTATGTACAGGGGAGAAGCCCTGCCCCCCCATCACCAACCTGAGGGGATTCCACAGCATGGGGGACTCTAACCCCCCCCACCTCTGCCCCCAGACTTTCCCCCAGCTCGGGGAGGGGGCGGATGGCTTGCTAGTTTTGAGAATGGTGGGGCTGAAAGCCCCCGGAGTTTGCTGGTGATGAACATGAGGCTGGGGGGTGGAGTGGAGAGTAGGGGGTGGTGAGCAAAGAGGCGCTTCTATGAGCATGGCGTTCTCTCCACCCTCTCCCACCACATCCTGGCAGGGTCTCACTGCTTGGGCCCAGGACTGGGATTTGGAAAGAGGGCACCCTTCAGCCCTCGGTCCCTCGCCCCAACCCCCACCGTGCCAGGGAAGTCCGTCCAGGACAATGGATGATAACCAGTTCAGGCTGCAGTTAAGTCCAGTGCAGGGACGGAGTGGGAGGAGACTTGGCTCCATCCTTTCCACCTCTTCCATCCTCCCATCCAGACCCCAGGCCCCCATGAGGTTCAGAGACCTCCTTCAGTCCTGGGGGGGGAGGGTGAAGGGAGAGGGGAGACGTGTTTCATGGTGGTTTCTTTCTGAAGACAGAGAAAGCCAGGTTGTGGGATGAGGGCTGTGTCCGTGTTTCCGCAGGGGGGAGAGCTGGAGTTCAGTCAGGGAGAATGGGTGGTTGGGCTGCTTCTGTTGGAGCTGGGGGAGAGGCTGGGGCTGCAGCTGCCCGGCGGTGGGGCCAGGCTGCTCCCATCCCCCTCCCTCCCCCCCACCCCCTGCTGTCCACTCAGAGTGTCCAGTCCCTCTGAATTCTCTAGCATCTCCTGGATGAGGGGTGGCATAGAGCCTGGGATCTCCATCTTCAGCGTGATCACTCGCTCAGCTCCTGGGAGAGGAGGAGAGAGGGAGGGAGGTCATCCACCAATGTCACCCTCACCCCCCCAGGGAGGGTGGAGTCTCCCCTACTCCTGTTTGTATGTTTTAATGTTTATTTTGGTTGATGGTTACAATAAAAATTTTAAGGTTACAATAAATTTTTTAAAAGGAGTCTCTCCACCCCCAGGGTACTCAGTGAGGAGGAGGTGTCTATTTGCAACTGGCATTGCTAAAGCAGGAGGTGGGGCTCAGTCCTTCCTATGGTGCAGATCTAGACAAGGAGAGGGTGGTCACAGGCAGACAATCACCTGCCCCTCTCGGTGCCAAGATCCAGGGCCTCGAGACTGCAGAGGTCTCACTTGTGGCGAGGGCCCAGGTGAGGGCTCTGGGGTAGGGCTCTCATAGGAGTGGGAGGGCCAGCTGCCTTACTTACCCTTAGCGCTAATGCTTCGAAGGTCCGTGATCTTCATCAGCATTTTAGGGAACATGTGAGGCCGACTGGGCCGCCGCTTCCTCACGTAGACCTTAAGGGCTTCCAAGAGTGGCTCCTGCAGAGTGTCCACTTTGTCTGGCTGCTCCAAGTCCTGCCGGTCTAAGAAGGCAGAGGTGGTGGGGTAAGCATCCTGTTTCCCTCCCCTCCCTTCTCAAATGAGAAAGGAAAAAAAGTCTATCTGGTCATGCAGTCCCACGCTTGGCCACTGAGGGGCACTGCTGCCCAGGGTGCTAAGCAGAGTCTGGGAGCAGGTAAGGATGGGGGGGGTCATTTTACCCACTGATAGTATCAGTTGTAAAAGGAGGATGTGCCACCTTATCTACTGCTCTGTCAACGATAGCCTCCCCTCCCTTACTCTAAATCCTTGACCTGGTATCTTCAATTTTTTTTTTTCTGCACCTGTGACTTCATCAGTGTAAAAGAAGTCTCAGATGGAGTCCACCACTGTGCAAACCAGCAACTTTTCTGTGACTTATCTCAGACACCTGCCATGGGGCACTGACCATGATCAGAGCTGAAAAGAGGACTTCGACCTATGTCTTGACTCCAAGGATAGCCCTCTATTCTCTACCCCAGACATAATTCAGAGGTAGACAATGAAGTGAGAAGGGCAACAGTTTGGCAGAGGGGAAGATAGTCGAGAAGAAATCCACCGTCCTTAGCTTAGATGCTTCCAGGCTAGAGATCCATGAGCTTCTTTTGTGTCCTAGATACCTCTGGTAATCTAGTGAAGCCAATGGACTCCTTCTCAGCATATTGTTGCTAAATGCACTGGTTTTTTTGTTTTTTGTTTTTTGGCTAGGCAGTGTGGGTTAAGTGACTTGCCCAGGATCACACAGCTAGTAAGTGTTATGTGTCTGAGGCTGGATTTGACACTGACTCTCAGGCCAGTGCTCTATCCACTATTCCATCCAGCTGCCCCTAAATGTGTTGGTCTTACAGTGGGAGTTCTCAACCTGGGCAGGCAAACTTGATTTCTTTAACACTCTGATTCTGATATAATTGGTTTCTTTAGGAATACCATGTATTTTATGCATTTAAAAGCTTAGTCTGAAAAGCAGTCCATCAGATTCACCAGATTGCCAAGGAGTGTCTACAAAAAAGTTAAGAACCCCTGAACTAGACTGACCAAGAGGAAGTTAGAGTGCCAAAGATCCACCCCTTCCTCTGGGAATGCCCCCATGTCTAGGGCTTGTATGGCAGCATTCTGCTGGAATCTCAAGAGACAGTGTTAAAAGCTACATAAGGAATCATCCTGGCTTCATCTGAAAGGCATTATGGGAGTGTATCTCCTCTCCCTTGGCCCCTTCATGGTATCTCCTATTTTGCAATCCCACGTACTCCATCCTGATAGGAGACCCTAGGAGAGGCTTGGGGAGCTGCCATGAAACCTGCCCACTCTACCCTCGGCTCTACTCCCATTCCACATCCCTACAGTTCCCCTTAGGTCCTTAAAACCCACCCACCTCCACAGATGAGGCAGATGGCACTGAGAAGCCCAGTCTCAGCATCATCCATCTCCAGTGGCAGCAGCTGGTTGGCGAAGGCAAAGACCAAGTCGGTGAGGGGCCCAAAACCGGCATTGTGCATCTGCGTCCGATTCAGGGTCAACCCATCTGAGAAGGTCATTGTGTCCTGTTCCGGTGTGTACCTCGTGCAGATCCGAAGAATCTAGGGGTGGTACAGGGTGGGAAAAGGTCATACTGGTTCATTATTTTCCTGACACACCTAGGCCCCCTTTAGCCCCTGAGGATTTCATCAAGGGAGGTCATCTTGGTCATCTCCCTGTTTCTATGCCAAAGGAAACCCACCCCCACCCCAATCTCTCCAAGCTAAGTACTGTTGCCCTAAGGAAGTTTTTGCTACAGTCTAAGGTAACTTCTACAAGTATTTTCCTTCAATGGGAAAGGAGAACAAATGGGAAACTGACTAGCACTGGAAGTACTCTGACTCTTCACAGACACCCCCTCCTAGACCCCTCTCCTTGTTTGGGAGTGGGGAGAACAGGATCATAGCAAAGGTGGCAAATGGAAGGCCAATAGGCAAGAAGGGAACGCTGGCTGTTCTAGGGCAGGCAATGCCCAGGGCCCCTCACCAGGATGTCTAGGCAGGCAGCCTTGAGAAGGGTGATCTGATCAGCAATGGTAAGAGTGGTGAAGCCGGGAAGCTGCTTGGCAAACTCCACAGTCTTGATGATACATTTGGTGGAGAGTTCACTGAACTTGTCCCAGAGGTCAATATCTAGGGAGACCCGCTGTTCCGAGCTGTTGTTCTAGGGGAGGAGAAGGAAAGAAAGGAGGCTTGTGACAAGTACCAGCCAACTGTCCCCTGTGGCTTACCTACTGAAGACTCTTCTCTTCCTGGCCTTGACCTCGTAACACCTCTCAGGACTGACAACCTCCACCCTGACCCAACACCATGTTACTGATGACAGCTAAGGCTATGCCAACAATGCCTGTTCCTATCATGCTAACAAAGCACTTTCCTCATATCCTTGAAGCAGGTAATGCTTCATTAGCCCTAGGCAGCTAGTTGATGGAAGTGGAAAAAGTACTAGACTTGGAGTTAAGAAGACCTGAGTTTGAATCCTGTTCTAGATACATTATCCATATGATCCTAAGTAATATCACTTAACCTTTCTCAGCCTCCTTATCTGGAAAATGGAGATAACAACCCATCTTATAGGGTTGTTCTGAGGATCAAATGAGTTAACATATTATAAAGTGCTTTGCAAGCTTTAAATCAATCTACAAATGTTACTTATTACTGTTATCCTTACAGGTGAGACTGAAGTTTTAAGAGGTCAGTCAGTCAGTAAACATTTATTAAGCGCCTACTATGTGCCAGGCATTATGCTAAGCACTAGGGATACAAAAAGAAGCAAAGGACAGACCCCACCATCATGGAGCAGACAATTTAATAGAGGATACAAAGCAGATAAATATGTACAAACAGGCTATATAAGGGGAAATTGGAAATAATGAACAGAGGGAAAGTACTAGAATTAAGAGGGGTTAGGAAAGACATCCTGTAGAAAATGGGATTTCAGTTGGGACATAAAGAAGGCGAGGGAAGCCAGGAGGCAGAGATGAGGAGAGCACCCCCAGCACGGTGGACTGAAGCTTTGAGAGGTACAGGTGACTTACTGAGGGTCACAGAGCAGATAACAGCACTAACAGCAATATGCATATAGCACTTCAGGATTTGCAAAGGGCTGTAGATATAGAAAGGAAGTGTGGTGCCCTGGGAAAAACACTGGACTTGAAAACAGGAGATATCTAGGATTATACCACACCTTTGACCCATCTTTGCTGTGTGACCACGGACACGGCACTAAATACGTCCATTCTCCTGGGGGAAGGGGTGGAAGGACACACACAGAATGCTGCATATACTGCTAGATGTGGACAGTGTATCAGGTTTAGTTTAACTGTTTTTCTTTAATACAAGGTAGGGCTCAGTGTGGGGTAGGAGATCACAAAATGACTGTAGTCAGGCATAGTGGTCATCAATAGATCTTTTAAAATAATTTGAAATACTTGTAGTACCAACTTCTTAGAGTTGCCAAAAATCAAAGAATATGATAACATATGCAAAGCACTTTGCAAAGCCTGAACCCTGCTGTTCAGGGTATCCCAAAAATTTTTGTTCAAATTTGGAACGAGGCCCAAAGGGCTATAAAACTGTGCATATCCTTCGACCTAACGATACTGATAGTAGGTCTGATTCCCCAAGAGATCAAAGAAAAAGGAAAAGAATCTACACGTACAAAAATATTTAGAGTAGCTCTTTTTGTGGTGGCAAAGCATTGAAATTGAGGGGATGCCCATCAATTGGGGAATGGCTGAACAAGTTGTGGTATATGACTATGACAGAACACCATCGTGCGTGGGAAATGAGGAAAGGAGTGGTTTTAGAAAAACATGGCAAGACCCACAATGACCTGATGCAAAGTGAAGTGAGCAGAACCGGGAAAACATTTTACACAGTAACAGCAATATTGTAATGATGATCAATGGTGAAAGACTTAGCTTCTCTGATCAATACCATAATCCATAACAATTCCAAAGGACCCACGATGAAAAATGCTATCTACCTCCAGAGAGAACTGATAAACTCTGAGTACAGATTGAAGGATACTTTTTTCACTCTATTTTTCTTGCGTTTTTTTTTTTAACATGGCTATGCTTTGCATGACTTCACAGGTATAATTGATATCATATTGCTTGCCTTCTCATTGGGTGGAGGAAGGGCTGGAGGGGAAGAAAGAATCTGGAACTCCAAAGTTTAAAAACTTTCAAAATAAATAATAGGGGTATGTGTGTGGGTGTGGGTGTGTGTGTGTATGTGTGTGTGTGTATGTGAAGTCTTAGTGCAGTTTTATTAAAGCAGTTAGTAATGAAGCAGTCAATAGAACACTCAGCCTGGAATCAGGAAGAATCTGAGTTCAAATACAGACTGAGACACTTTACTAGCTATGTGACCCTAAGCAAGCTGCTTAACCTCCTTTAGCCTGTTTTCTTATCTGTAAAATGGGGATGATAACAGTATCCACCTCCCAGAGTTGTTGTGGGGATTATGTTTGTTTATGAGGATAATATTTGTAAAAAGCTTAGCACAGTGCCTAGTTCATAGTAGATGCTTAATAAATGTTTCCTTCCCTCCTTTGGTTAAAGATTAAAACTTCACTAAGATTTTTGGGACACCTTGTATAAATGTTAGGTATTATGGGGTTCCCTCCCAGTCTTGCCCTGTGATTTCATCAACATAGGGATCTCCCAGTAAGGAAACTCCCTTCTGCCAATGCAGGTAAAACTTAACCGACAATGATCACATTTGATCTTCACCAGAACTCTGTTACAGATGAGGAAACTGAGGCTCTGAGAGGGTCATTGCCTTGCTGCCTACGTCCACACAACTAGTAAGAGCTGGATGTGGGATTTTTCTGATTCCAAGCCCAGCGCTCTTTGTTCTATTCCACCATCCAGAGTCCACACAGCTCCAGAGGCAAGGAAGGCCTCTGAATCAGGAAGATCAGCCCTTTTTAAGATCAGGGAATCAGATCGATGCCTCTGGCGTCCTCATTCCTGTGCCGTGAAGTTGCCCCCATGCTCCCAACATCCCATTCACCTCCCCATCTCCCCCACCCTCCTCCTGCCCAGCCCTTTGCAGGTTTCAATGCACCATCTCCCCATGTTCCTTGCCCCCCTACTCCTAGATTCCCATACCGTAGTGTATTTTCCAAGCTGGCAGAGGGCAGGAAAGGTTTCCTGATGAGCTTTTCGAACCTTCTCAATCAACTCCTCCACCTCGGGGGTCAGCGTGTAGCTCTCTGAACACTCTGCTTTGGGCGTCTCTTTCTTTTTCTTATTCCGATCATTCCTCACAGCTGGAGAAAGGAGGGCAAAGGAGAGGGGGAATAGGGGAGGGAGTTAGAAGCAGTGTGATGGGTGAGGTCCTTTCATGAGGCCTTGGCCCCCCACCCCAGGGGGCTCCTCATATCTTAAAGAGGCGGGATTTCCTCACCAGGCCAGCACATCTAGGCCAGGCAGAGCTGTTATCTCCTTAGCAAAGTCATCTTTGTGAATGCAAACATGCAAACAGACACACACACACACACACACATACACACACACCCCTACCAACAAAGGGTGAGAAAACTGGTCCTCCAACCTCAGTGCTTCCTCCCTCATCTGAATCAGGAAGCAAGGTCCACATATGTACATACCGTATGTAGCAACGTTTTGACCACGTCTATGGGCCCACAGCTTGGCTGGGCATAGGCCCCAGGCATTGCCGAGAGGCATGGGTATATGTGGGCTTTTGCATCCTCATGCTCTGGGGTGTGCATTTGTCTGTGCACATTCATATCACCTAAGTCTGTTTCCCCAAACTCCCTTTTGTTTTGCTTTTCCTCATCTTCCTCCCCCAGGGCCCTCATACATCCTGGGCCTTGGGCTGAATGATGCAAAGGGTCCCTCTATTCCTGCATCTGAGTACAGCACCTCAAGGTGGGACTGGGAGGTGTCAGGAGGAAAGCCTAAAGGAACAGTTCTCTCAGGGCCCCCTGCAAAGGAAAGGGAATTGGGCAGGAGGGTAGGAATGGGGGGATCTCTCGGCCCATTAGCCAGGGAGCTGACAAATCACCGTGGGCGCTGAGCCGCACACACCACTCGCCTTTAAAGAAGCGATGGGGTCGTTACCAGCCGATTATCTCCGACACACAATCACTCACAGGGCAGGGACTCAGCCGCTGCTGGGTGGGGGAAGGGGGGGGATGACTGAGGAGGAGATCCTGGAGAGTGAGGGGGATGGGGGGTCTGGCAGTCGAGGGGGGTAGGGAGAGGGAGAGAGAGGGAGAGGGAGAGAGAGAGAGAGAGAGAGAGAGAGAGAGAGAGAGAGAGAGAGAGAGAGAGAGAGAAAGAGAGAGAGAGAGAGAGAGAAAGAAAGAGAGAGAGAGAGAGGAGCTAGCATAATTTGGAGATCACTCATGTCGACTCTGCAAATTCAATAAAGTGCAGGAGAGAGAGAGAGAGAGGGCGAGGGTGAGGGAGAGGAAGAGAAAGCGGGGGGATAATTTGGGAAGAGAAAATTGCAGCTGTGACAAGACGTTTATCATTCGGAAGCTTTAATTCTATTGAAATGGCAGCTGCTCAGCTCCAGGGCACAGAGCTCTGGGAAGGCAGGGAGGGAGGAAGGGATGGGGAGGGGGGGTCCCCATGGCTGTCTGTCCCCAACCTACTCCTTTCTCTCTGAGCACATGTACACACTGAGGTGGAGTTGAGGAAAGCCTGACAGTGAGGTAGGATCAGTTCAGAGGTGGATCCCCTCTAGGGGTTTGAAGCTCCCTACTTCTTCCCTCCCTACCCAACCATGAAGGGAGCCTGGGAAAACTCCTGCGTGTGTATATATGGGGGGGGCTTAGATAACAAGGGTAGCAAATCTCATCCTCTACCTCCTGCAGTGAGCTAGCACCAGCACAGGCTAGGGGGGAGGGGAGAAGGGGGAATAGAAGGGGTGGGACAGAGGGGGTGGGGAAGGAAAGGCAGCGCATGCTCAGTCCCAGACAGAAGCCAACACTACATAGTGTCTGTCACTAAGGCTGGGGCACATTGGAGACTGGGAAACTCTGGGCTTCCCAAAGGCTGTAGACTAGACCTGCTTATTCCCCCAGAACTCATGTACCTCGCACTAGGAAAGGCGATGGGAATTGATGGGGCTCTATATATCTGAGTGTCTCTTATCTGCATGTGTCTGAGGCTCTGTACACACGTGTACATGCATCTTTTTTCCACGCCCCCATGCTATATTGGGCTATGGATTGGGGGCAGGGAAGGGGAGTCCTGCTGCTGCTGCCCACCTCCCCCAAGTCTGAAGGTTCTGGCTCCATGACAACAGCCAACGCAGACGGAGGCTTCTGTCAGCGTCATTTATCTCTGACATCATCAATCATTGGTTGCCATAACAACACCCATGATTCAAACACAAGAGGATTCCCCCCACCCCAGGTCCTGCCTCCTTCTAGCCTGCCCTCTACTCAGCCCAAATTCAAACTCCATGTTCCTCAGAATCAGGCTGGGAACCCCAGATTTGAGATGGTGTGAAGTGGAGGAGGGGGTGGAGAAGAAATGGGCTTTTCAATTCTCTTCTACTGGCCCTCTCCCCTAGGGATTCCCCAAGAGCTCTTGAGTCTCTGGGGCTCCAAGTCTATGGTATTCCTACCTCTGAAGGGAACTGTGCTAAATGGAATTGAGTCCCTCTCCCTCCCGGCAAGGTCATAGGTAACCCAGGTGTCCCTCCTGTATTTCATCACATGCTAAACAGTAAATATAAGCAGGCTAGTCCAAGAAAACAGCTTCTACACACACACACACACACACACACACACACACACACACGCACACATGTACATTCCTTCCCTTCACTGACAACTCCTTCATGGAAAGCTGGGCTTTTCCCTCAGCTTTGCCCCATCTCCCCTAGCCCCACAGTTCCTCCATTGCCTAAGGGCTGAAAGGGAAACCCAGGTCACAGATTGTACACAGCATCACACCCTCCCTGTTTTGGCCCCAGAATGCCCAGGCTGTGGCAAGTGAGGGTGGCAAGGGGTGGCACTCACACTCCTTGGACATGCCCACTTCAAAGCATTTCTGTAGTCGGCAGTACTGACAGCGATTTCTCGTCACCTTGTTGATGATACAGTTCTTGTCCCGGTGACATGTATACACCATGTTTTTCTGGATACTTCGACGAAAGAAGCCCTAGAATTGGAAGAAGAAGCAAGGTTGAGGGGGTAGGGTACAGAGGTCAGCAACCACAGAGCAAAGGTGGGAAAGAGGGGCAGATCCCCATCTGTGGCCTCTGGGCGAAGACAACACAGCATCTCTCCCCCCCTCAGTCTTCTCACCACCTCCCCCGGCAGAGGAGCTCCAGGGTCAGGAGAATGTGATTCAGCAACGAGAAAAGGAACTCCCAGAGGAGAAACCCAAAGGCTGCCTGCTGAGGCTGTCGCTTCCGCCACTGCCCCTCCAGCCTCTGGCATCCTGAGCGGCTTCTCCTCTGAGGAACCAGCCCCAAGGTAACGAATGAGTCAGGGAGGGGTGTGGAGGGGCAGAGATGGGGCAGAGGCAGAGCCCACAATCTTGGTGGCTAAGAACACACTGGCAAGCAGGCACAGGCACAGACTGACGCACAGTAAGTAGATATACAGGCACAAAGGCCAGCAGGCAGAGACAAACCAGTGGGCTGGCAGGCAAACCAACAGAGGCAGACAGGAAGGGGGCCAGGCAGACAGAGGCAGGCAGGCAGAGAGATGGACAGACAGACAGAGAAGGGGACAGACAGGTAGAGAGGTGGGCAGAGGGACAGAGGTGAGCAAACAGGCAGAGAGGTGGGCAGAGAGGCAGAGAGATGAGCAGAGGGGCAGAGAGATGAACAGATGGGCAGAGGTGGACAGACAGGCAGAGAGGTGAGCAGAGGGACAGAGAGGTGGGCAGAGGGGCAGAGAAGTGAGCAGACGGGCAGAGAGGTGGGCAGACAAGCAGAGAGGTGGGCAGAGGGACAGAAAGGTGAGCAGAGGGACAGAGAGGTGGGCAGATGGGCAGGAAAAGCCAAGAGGCAAGCAGGAAGAGGGACAGACAGGCAGAAAGATGAACAGACTAGGGCACAAAGACAGATAGATAGGGGGCTAAAATATAGATTCACAGGCAGGCAAAGAGACAGACAGACAGGGGCAGAAAGACAGGGACTAAGAGAGACTAGAAAGAAGGCAGAAAGGCACACATACATGGGCAGACGGGCATGCAGGTAGGACCCACACACATGACATGAAGGTAGGCAGGTGACCACACACAAACACACTTGCATTCCCAGGTAAGACCCACATAAGATATAACATATGCCACACATGCATGCACACACACTAATACACAAGCACAGAGAAGGCAGTCTGAGGCCTTGGGCTCTGCCCTTGATCTCTATCCCCAAGTCCACAGGTTTAGAGAGGCCCAGGATTAGAGAACTCAGCTGTGTAACTTCTCAGGCCTGACTCCTGTGGGAGCTGGAGGCCCTGGGGAGGGGAAAACAGTAGAGACGGTGTGCACTGCAGGATGGTGGGAGTGAATATGACTGTGCCACACTAGGTGTTTCTGAGGGGTCCACTCCCCATTCCAAGAGCCAAATCTAGAGTAATGGGGTAGGAATGGGGTCTAAGTGGGTGGCTGTGGGGCTACAGGAAATCAAGATGTGCTGGCACTGGGGGAGGGGATCCTGGTAGCCAATAGCTTTAGCATTTTTTGAGAGTAGGGTAGGCAACTCCCCAAGGGGTAGCTCTACACCTCCTCTCACTGGGCACTCCTCCTGCCAGGTTATTCCAATAGGGTTCAGGCAGGGCTGCTGGGGGAGGCCTCCTGGGTCTCTTGCCAAGAGCAGGTCAGATGCCAGCTCACCATAGTAACCCCAGGAGCAGCAGTGGCGGGTTTTCACCCTGCCAGCCAGAGGCATCAGCCTTGGGAATGCAGCCTTTAGTGGAGAGGGAGAAGACCACACTTTGGGCCTAGGGGCCTCTACACAGGGCAGGACAGGAGGCAGTCTGAGGAGGTGTTTGAGGGAAAGGAAGAAGTCAAAGAGGTTGACTATAGTTGTAACCATACATCTATTCCTTCTTAAAAGATCAGGACATCCCTGTTCATCCCCTTATCATCTCTCAAGGAATACAGACGGGACAAAGCCAAAAACAACCAACCCCCTTCCCCTCACACAAATCAAATTATTGAGGGGTACAGACTATAACCAGGAAGGAAGGGGGAAACCTATAGACATCCTCTGTATTTCAAAGTTATTTCTTCCCCTCATCGTTCAGCGATGGTCTATTCAATACACCTAACTCACCTTACAGCCTTCACAGGCACTGACCCCATAGTGGTACCCCGAGGACTTGTCCTGGCAGACAAAACACGGCTTGTAGATTCGGGGGAGGGGGGGTGGGGGGGGGGGGCTGGGCACAATCTCCTCCGAGCTGCTGCTCTGAGTTTCAATGGCTGAAAGGTTTGGCAAGAGAAAATGAGAAAGCACAGGTTAGAAACCCTAGGCTCCAACCATCATTCCACAATACCTTCTGATAACTTAAGACCCCCACCATTCTCATAGGCAATATGGTAAAAATATGGGAAAAAGCATGGGATTAGAAAGAAAAGGACCTGAGTTTGAATTCTAATTCTTTTCATCACTACCTGTGTAACCTAGGGCAAGTCGTCCCCTTAATGGGCCATAACTTGCAACTCAAAATCTATAATTTATGAACCCCACCTTCCAAACTCTCCCTGGCCTCATTACACCCTGGTGACCACACAGTTCTAGGAGGTACTAGGCAGACCCAGACCAGTCAGACACTACCTTACACAATGTCATCACAGCTGGATAAAGTATCACTTCTTGTAACCTCTATCACTCACTGGGTCGGAGTGATCACCTGCTGAAACCCTTTCTCATTAATTCTTCTCTCCTTCCATATAGCTAGGAAGGAGTTAAGGCAAGATGGGAAGAGGGGGGGGAGGGCCTGAGTCTGGACCAGAGGAAACTGGGGTCAACAGGATGTTCAAAGTCAGTCCACTCCCCCTCCTTTCTCTGCTTCCGTTCTCTAACCCCCCCCCCCCCCCCAGCCCCCCGGCCCCCCCCCCAGCAAATAATTCCCTCCCTCTCCTCTGGCCAGGAAACCAAGGAGTAGAGCAGGAGGGCAGAGACACTGCTGATCTTCCCCCTGTCTCTCAGCTCTTGGCCTACTGAATGGGAGAGGGATAGAGGCCCCCTAACATTGACCCTAGGAGTGTCCCTTCCCAGGAGTCAGAGATTGGGAACCCTGTTGGTGCCCTCTACCAGCCCACCAGCCATGTGTAGATTTGTGTTGAAGGCATGTGTTGGGATGTTGCCCCCAAGCCAAAGTGGGGGGGACAAAGGGGGCTTGTTTCTACTCAATGGTCAGTTTGTCTTAGTCTCCTTACTGTTTAGGATTCACTCCACCACTCCTGCTATTGAGTTTCCAGCAAATGGGAAGGTGAGTAACCTGTTGGGGTGGCAGCTGGGTATACAACACAGGCCAGATTCTCTACAGCCATACCGTCTTCCTAGGGGGTATGGGGCAAACTTTAAGTATATTTGAGGTCAGGAGATCCATGTTGGGGCTCTTGGAGTCCAGGTGGGAGGGTGGGGTAGTGGCAAACTACTGCAATGATAAAAAGCAAAAAACACCTCTCCTACTCCTTAGGATCATCTGTTTTCCATTCCTGCACAGCTCTCAAACCACCACCATCCAATGGTCATAGTGTCCAGCCTCCTTCCTCTGTGACAGTCCTCTTTCTGACCCCCAGCCAAGTCAGATAGTAGAATACAGAGGGGGTTTGCCAGCATGACATAAAGGGAATTCTAGCCCCTCAAAGCTGAACCTTTATCACACCTAACCACTATTCTATCTACAAAGCTCTAGCAAGAACAATTATGTGAACCCGCAACATGATAATGTCCAAAGATGCAGGTACCCCATTAACATTACCATGTTACTGCCAAAAGTCAAAAGTCTCTCTCTCTCTCACGGCGCGTGCGCGCGCGCGCGCGCGCGTGCACACACACACACACACACACTCCATGGCTCTCCAAAACTTCATGCTTGATGAGAAGGGAAGGGATTGGGTACCAGGAAATAGAAGATACTAGCCCATTCCCCTTCTCTCATCTCAACCTCATCAATGATAGACCTCTTTCTCTCTGGGGGTTGCCAGGAGGATGGAGAGAAGGGCACTGTGCCAGCCCAGCTGGCTAGGGCCTACAATCATCTCAGAGAAAGGCATCAAGACCCCAGACACCATCCTGCCCTAGTCCCCTAACCTGGAACGTTAATGGTTGCAGAGTTCAATCCCTCCATCCTGACCTCAGTTTCTCCTACACACTGGAATTCAATGCAGGAAAGCACATGAAACTTTAGATCTCCTAGGGCCCTTCACCCCACAAAACTGTCCTACACCCTGCTTCCCTCATCACTTCCACTCTTCCTTAGCCCTAGACAAGTAAATCAGACAGACAGGGAGGCCTGAGAACAGCTGCTTGGGGAGGGGGGACTGCAAGGGGGGTGAGGGGCCGGGGTGAGGCTGGGGGGGGAGGGGATCTGGACAAAGGAGTCCTTTGTTGTGCTAACTTTTTCCAAGACGCAAACCAGCAACAATAGACAATCCAGCCTGGAGAAGGTGGGGGGGGGAGCGATATCAAGGACAAGGGGGTGTGGGTCCCCACTGCTTGACCAGGAGCCCAGCATTCCAACAAGCTGAGGGACAAAGGCGATGACCCCTCCCCTCCTACCCCACCTGGCCTTTGGCCTCCTGGCCCCGCCTCCCCTAGGGGACCAGACCCCCCCCCCAAGAGCCACTTTCTGCAGAGGATTGAAAATGGTCGATTCTCTATGAGGAGAAAAGGCAGAGAGAGACAGAGACCTTGGGGAGCAGAGGAAAGGAGACCGATGAAAGAGGATGAAGAGACTGCAGAGAGAACTGGAGGAAACAGAGAGGGGGGCATAGGATGGGGAGGGAGAAACTGATGATTTGGGGAAGGTGGGTATGAGCAGAGGAAGAGACACTTCTGAAAAGTGATGGGGGGGGAGGGGAAATGAGGAAAGCAAAGGCCAAGCAGAAATATGCAGCAAAGGCAAAGTCCAGAGGGTGTTGGTGGAAAAGAAAAAATTGCTTTGGGGAAAGGAGGGGTGAGGAGAGATATAGAAAGAAAGCAAGAGAAAGGGACGACTAAACAGGATAGAGACTGGCTTCCAACCACTTCTTCACCTCAAGCTGTAGCAGTTTCTACACCTCCTTATATACCCTTTGCCCCACTTGCATACGCACACATTTTCTCTTCTCTCCCCCCCCCCCATCCTCCCCCCCACCACACACACACACACACACACCCCTCGAGACAGAATCTCCTGCCTAGTCACCCAGGTAAGCCCAGCCCTGCTCCTGACATAGCCACCACCTCTGAATCTGAAGGCTTGGCCCCCCTGCATTCCACTCCCTCTTCTCCCCAGGTTTATTGCCATCAGATCAAAAGAAGAACAAGCAGAGGGGGAGATTGGTGGGTGGTGTAAGGGACTAAAGGGCACCGTCCTTTCCTCTCTCCACCTCAATTTTCCTTTTCTGGCCACTGAAAGAGGAGGGAGAAACTGCATCCATCTGTCCTGTGGGCCACTCTATCTTTAAATATACCTCCGTCCACCCAGGAGACCACTTTCCTGCTGGAAACATCATAGAGCTGTCAGCCCCAGGGAAGAAACAGCTTACTATCTCACTTTCTCTCACTACCCATCAAAGCTCCCCCCCCCTTCCCCAGAGAAGGGGAAAACAGAGATTAAAGGAAGGATAGAACCTAGATCAAAGTCCAGAACTCAACAGAGAACTAAGGTGTCTTGATTCCTAGCCAAGGACAGGTTAGGCTGTGGAGAAAGGGGGCATCTTCCCATTCAGGTTTGGAAGAAAGAAACTCCCTGGACTGGCCCCTGTCTCCACTACCTCCCTACCACCCCTCAGAGGGGCCAGTTTCCTGAAGATCAGCAGGAAATCGGATGGGCCCTTGGCCAGGACCTCCCTTTCCCTCCCCCACTCCAAGTCTGGCTCCACTGCTATTCCCCACTCCCCAGCAGCCCCCAAGGGGAGAGGGATAGGTCTCCAGAGACCAGCCCCCTCCCCAAATTCCCTAGCCCAGAAAAACAGAAGGGGGTAGAGTATGAAAATGTGCGTTGGAGGGGGGCAAAGGGGGAGGAGGACGGAAGAGGTCGGGCCTATCTGGGCTAACTCCGATAAGCATCTCCCCCCCTCAACATTCCCCCCCTTCTCCCTGGGGCTCCCACGTGCTCCACATTCTTGGATGTCTGGGAGCAGGCAGAGGCGTAAAGCAGTCCTGAGTGTTAAGGCAAAGGAGGAGGGAGAAACATCCTGTCCCTCCAACATCTCTACCCATCTCTATATGTCATCTCTACCCCCCAACGGGGGTGGAATAAGGGGACCCCAGTGCTCTAACCCCAAGTCCATTACCCTTTGGCAAGGTAAGAATCTTCACCAGACCCCCACCCCACCCCCAGCCTGGATGACTCCTCCCACTCCCCCATCAGAGGGAGAGGAGAACTCTCAGTTATCAAGGGGGTAGAACAGATTATAATAACAGGAGCTGCCCAGTCTTCTAAGTTTTGTGTCTGTTGTTGTGGGCACACGTTGTGCCCTTCCTGTGAAGGCATCTGCCCCCAGATCCCTGTTCCTCTTGACCTCAACTTTCTGCTCACAGCTGACCACAGCCTTTCTTCCAACTGGGAAAGTGGAAGGGGAAGGGCGTGATGAGTCTAGGAAAGCTAGGTCTAGGCCCCTTGCCCTCTGGATAACTGGCACACACCATGGATCTGGGATCCCAGGGACAGAGGATAACATTGCCAAACCTGGGACAGCCCACGGCTCAGCTTTCCCATCCATTTGGGGACAATATACCACAGCACAATCTACCTCTCTACTTACTGGATACTTCAAAGGGTAAGGAGAGGGAAGGAAACTGATACTGTGGTGGCCCAAGACAACCTGACAAGGAAAACACAGACACTCAGTCCCCAACAATTTCGAGGGGGAATCCTTTGGTGATGGGGGGTGGGGTGGCTAGGAGGTGGAATGAGCCATCAGGGAAGAATAACAACTTTAAACAGCCAGGTTAAGTCCAGCAGAGTCACCTTCTTCCCTGAAGTTGGGAGTGAGGCTAGTGAAAAAACTTCATCCTGAGTTCTCATTTCTTCCTCTGCCTCACTCCAGTCCCCACCCCACTCCCATTATCCAACTAAAGTCAATAAGCAATCTCCCCCTCCCCAAAGCAAAGCCCTCCCCATCCACTGGATTCCTGGATAAGAATCAAAGGTCAGGGGCCAGAACAATGGGAAGAGATGGGTAGGGTGGGGGTGACCACAGCCTGGGCCAGAAGATCAGGATGACCAGTGCCAAGCCAAACCCCGTATCCCCACCTAGTGAGT